GTCCTGCCGTGAGTGCAGGGGACTGGAGTAGATGACCTGGGGAGGTCCCTTTCTGTCCTATGTAGAACCAAATCATCTCTGAATCACCTGACAGCATCCTAATTAAGCAATATTTCTATCCCAGCTATACATTGCAGCTAATATAATTCGGATCTCTGTCCATTAAAACTGGCTAGTTAATTGCTGCAGCAAATCATGGGGCTGGATTATACACTCCTTATTTCTGAGAAGTCTCATTTTACCCAGTCTTAAGCCATGTGAAGAGCACCTAAATATTATGGAGATGGGCAACTCATAACAGTTTGTAATAATAATGTGAATGGTTATCATTAATCTTAGATGTCTAGATCAAGTAGATTTCTAAATAAAATGAGGTGTACTTAAAATGTTCTTTACACATCTAGAAATATAGAAAAGGTTTTCATGATATTCCCTATACTTAAAATGGGGAATATCTCCAGAGCTGGAAGGAACTTTTTAAGTGTGCTCAGGGTATGCTTATAGCATGATTTAATTATTATTCATCATTATCTGTCACCTATTCATTCAGGGCCACAAACATCTTGATTTTTACTGTTGCTTCAAAGAAGGGTAACTTGCAGTCTGAGCCGTGGACATTGTGGTCCGTGGATTATGAATTTACCACCTGCGTCCATTGAGGCAGATAAACATGAGCAGTGAAAGGGGAGGCTTCTGTCCAGCCAGATATTTTCAATAGCCAGTTATAAGTGCACAGTGTGTGAAAGGAAGTGTGCCCCTCTGTGGTAGCTGTTGAAGGAAGATTTTTATTGGAATATAAAATTGTGCTGTTTAAAATATTATGACAGCGTTTTATGTTTAGATTCATCCTGTCACGGTTGCTTGCTTCAAGGGATTTTCCAGCACAGAGTCCCCTTGCCAATAGCTTTGTTCACCCTCCCACCACCCCAAGGAATTTTAACAGCTGCCAAAGGTCTGGCAGGATTTAGTAAATGGCTGTCCAGTTTTTTTTTCCATATTGGAGTTAGTTTGCAACTTTTAAGGTTTTGAAAAAAGAGAGGAAAAACCCCTGTCTCATTTTGTGTTTAATTTTTTTCAGTGTATTGTAGTTCTCATAAAGTACAATGCAGCCTTTTCTCAACTACAGTATAGATCTGTCAATCAACAATAAATTAATAACCTCAAAGGCCATGACTAATCCTAAAGTACATAATATCATCAGGACTAGTCATTTTCCTAAATGTAGCAAGTGCTCTAGGGGATCCTGTGGCAGGTCGGAGAGCAGAATGATAAATATATCTTTATATACATGCTGTATAATTTTGCAAGAAACTCAGCAGCCATCACTGATATTTATGTAAGAACTTCGAAGGATACATTGTGTGGCTGCTAAGAAGAGGGCTCACTGGGAGGGACCATGTGCCAGGTCCTGAGTCATAGGAACACATATCTGCAGAGGGAGATGAGGCAGAGAGACTGTCCTCAATGCCATGCACTAGACTAGAGGATGAATGGAGGTGGGGAGGCCATCTTCTGGTGGATATGGGGGAGGTTCATTAAGGAAAGGAGAGGGAAGAAGAGGTGGAAGACTATGCAGTAGGGGAGGGAAACAGGAACCAAGTTTTACTCTTCTTTGGTCTGTAAGGATAATTTAACTTTGTCCTTACCTGTCAAGGTGTTAGGAACCCGTTCACAAAATTACAGACTCCAATTATATGGACTAAGGCCTGGATATCTTTTGGATTTTTTCAGAAATGTTAAGTAGATATACCCCCTAGAGATACATTTACAGATGGGAATATATATGAAATTAATAAAGCCATCACCACATTCTCTCTCCACAAGTGTAAGTTTCATTCATGAATATCGAGAACCTGCTCCAATGAATTTTGACATTAACTTAAATAAGAACAGGATCAGGCCTAAGGGTCTTTAACATAAAGGTTACCATGAGTGTGGGTTTATCAGTTACACTGATGACCTTGTGTACACAGGGAAGAGTGACTTTGTGTTTTGGCACTAGTTGAATATGCACATGCTGTAGGGCAAATAGCGGGGATTAGTGACGGATATATAAGGTTATGCTCATAATGCTAGCTATTGATCCATCAACCTTGCATTGTGGATGTTTGCCAAAGTATTCTAAATACTTAGGAAAGTCGAGGGCTGTAAACTAAATGCTGACACATACATGATTTAAATCAACTTTAACATCTGAAAAAGTAAGATAGTAGTTTTGGATTTTGTCAGAAGACTGAAACAAAGTGCTCCATTACAAAGCACGCTCAGCAATGCTGACTGATGTCACAGTTCATGTTTTACACAAGATTTGGCTAGAGCATATAATTTGGCTAGAGTTACTCGTTTTAATGCTATGTAAAGAAAGGCTCATTTGAATACAAGGTTTCATTTGTAATCTGGTTTGACTAATCTTGTTAACTAATTCTAATGAATACTTTGATATTAACTTGGTTAATTAATTTTGCCGCTATACTATGTAGATGCAGATTTCCAGGGCCAGATTGTGTTTGGCTCGAACACAGAGATGAATAGGAAGGGGAAGCACGCAAGGAGTCTCCTACCCCATTACCCATCACATCACACTCACAGTTCTTGTGTTCAGGGGATTGCAGGAGCTGTCCCCTTCATAATTCTGCCAGGGGTGCATATTGCCACAACAATGTGGAGAAAAAGGTGGGGCAATGCCCTCCACCCCCACCCCTGCCAGTGGACAGTCAAACTAGGGGAATATGGTGCAGACACTGTTGGGGTGTAGCCGCAAATGTGGTCCCAGAACTCATCATGGAGTGATGCAGCTTCCCAGGACTGTGCCCATTGGCGTGGTTAAAACCTTAAAATTAGCCATACAGCCATTGTTTAAATAGTGCTGTGGCCTGATTCCACAACCTTTCCTCAAGTGAGTAATCTTTATTTGTGCAAATAGTCTCATTAGAGTCAATGGGAGGCAGGGTTACTTGTGTGATTAAGCATTGTAGAATTAGGCCCTCTTGTGCAGTGTATTTGTAGCTGACTGGTGGCAAGAGCAATCGTTATTAGAAAAAGAACAATATTCACAGCAAATTAATCTGATAGCTCATATCCCTGTGTATATTGTAACTTGAATTTTTCCTGCAAGAGTTTTGATCAAATTGAAAACTCTTGGTTAAATTATATTTGCTAGTTCAAAGTGTTTTCTTAAGGCTATAGTATATATTTATCTTTCTGTAGTTTTCCATATCAACTTGCTGTAGATTTACAATCTAATAAAAATCATACTTGTTCAAAACTAAATACAGCAAAACCAGCGTTAGCTGGCAGTCCAAGAAACCAGCAATGTCAGTGGCCTAGCAGAAGTAGACGTTTACTAAAGGTCAAACAGAAGTGTACTTGAATCCTTGACTTTAAAGGGACTTTAAATTGGTCCCTTTAGAAACAGAATTGCATGTTAAAGGTTGTATTTAAGTGGAGGTTTCAGTGTAATGTAGCCATGCACAAGAAAAACCTTGTTTTTCAGAAATCAGTTATAAAGTTATGATTTCATTCTGCAGTTGGATTTCTTATTATAACTTGATCAGTGTAATAATATAGACGATCTGGAGGGATTTAAAATCTGCAGTGCAGTAATCTGAAATTACAACTGTGCAGGTGTGCTTTTTATAAAGGTGTTAATTGACGAGGCTAGATCAAAACATAAAGCAGGGGTCAGGTGCAGCTTTCTTAGTAAACACAGAGCGTACAAATCCGGAGCTCTGTAATCTGCAGCCTTTCAAGATATTACCTCACCCACCTTGTTTTTTTCTGCAGTCATTTAAGAATTGGTCTGTATTACATATCTGTCATGTTTCTGAGTTTCAGTGTGGATTTATAACTTACCCAGAGACTGTTCAGAGTTGTGAACCATTTCCAAATAAAAAGCTTTTTTTTTTTTTTATTGCAACTTCTGGATTGATTTTCTACCACCTGAACAAATGTAGTATTCCTTTTCCTTCCCTTTGTGCTAGCCTGGGGCTGCCTAGAATGAGCTTATTAAAGGAATATAAAGGGGAATTTTGAGCCCTTTTGAGTAGTTTACAGTGCTGTTCCACAAAAATAAGAACTGGTAGCAGAATGCAAGATTATTGGCAAAATTGTATGAAAAGTTCAACTTGCTGCAGCATGGACAGTGTAAAAATAAGTGAGCTTCCCGTGAGTCTATGCTGGCTTCTTTGTGGTGTTGAATCTGCCTGATTTATAAAAGCAATGTTTATAAGACTTCGAGCTCATTTATTTGTAATCATTTCATCTTCCTTAAAAGAGAAAAGTAGGAGGCAGCTATTGGAATTCTTTGTTCATCAGAGTGTCAGTGTTCTGTATTGCTAAGGTTTGTGGGCCACATTTCCAAGAGAGCCCAGCACCAGTAGCTCCCACTAGGCTGAATTTTCACAAGAGCTCAGCTCCTGGCAGCTGTACATTTCTGAAAATCCAGCTACTTACTCAAGTGCCTAAACAGGAGCTAGGCTTGTCTAAAAACCCAGTTGCAACTGAGAGTGCTGAGAACTTCTGAAAATCTGCCATTTTCCTCTACCTTTAGTAATGCAAATTCATGCATTTAGTCTCATTGCCCTATCAAAAGACAATTCAACATGATTTGTTTTTCCTAATTGACTGGTTGTAAGTAGAGCTCTGCTCTGTCATTTCATGAACTCATCCACACTTGAACAACTTGTCTGCTTGGATTAATTTGTACCATGAAGGGACAATATTATTACCAAGGAAAAATCCACTTTACTCTGAAACTCTAATAGGTTACAGGAAAGGCACTTTGCCTGATTCATGTTTGTTTAGTCATTGGCAAATGTTTCTCTGTGTAATGAGAATCTTTACAGGAATGCAAATGTTTGCAACAGATCCTGGAAAAAGAACAACTCATTACTACTTCTGATTTTAATTATCCTATGCCTTGTTAATTTTTAAGCCATCACTGGACAAGTTTATGTTTTAAATTAAAAGTTTCATGTTGGCATTATTGTGTTGTTCTTTAGGGACATTCCAGCTATATTACACACCTTGACTGGTCCCCGGACAACAAGTATATAATGTCAAACTCAGGAGACTATGAAATACTATACTGTAAGTATGAAATTAAATTATATGTACTGGACAGAAATTTGCCTTAGCAATCATAATACATGGAAGAATGTATGTGGTCAGGGCTGTCTGTGCAAAATGCTTTCTGACAAAGGAACTAATTTGAACTTTTGTAACCTGATATTATTCAGAGCTGTGTATTACCTAATGGCACTTCCAAATATAGTTTACTTCTCTACAAGGTCATAAATCAGGATAACAACTTAGAATTTACAGAACAAGTGGCACTAGGTTGTGATGTTGCTCCAAAAGGTTTTGCACTTCGAAAATAGTATGTATACGTTGTCTATTTTGTATCAACAATGTGATCTATTGAAGTGTGTAAGATTTGAAAGAGAAAAGCTTGAACCAATAACAGGATTTATTTAGCTGTATAGTAATAGCGTTGGCATACCTTCTGATTTTCTAAATGTATGTGTTTATTTACCTAGTAGATATATCTAACAACTATGCAGTATCACACCTAAAGCAAGGTGAGCTGGTCAGAGCACAGACGTTTTAATCTATTTTAAAAAATAGATTTTCCCACCTATTCTATTTGAAGGAAGTCATCAGTCTGGAATTGATGGGTTGTGGCTCCTCTTTCTTTACAAGCATGGAGAACCACCCCTCAGATATGAAAAATGTCTGCACCTTCACAGGTCTATTCCACCGATTACAACTCAGCTGTGAGCTGAGAGTTCTATATCGGAATCTGCCCAAAGTTTCTGTGACTGTAATTATCTGTGCAATGAGGTGAAGGGCTACAATCCATCAATGCCAAACTGCTGAACTGAAAGACAGAATCATTCCCTTTCTGGTTACAAGGTGAAAGGGGATTGAGACTCCCATGACAAATTGTTCCTCACTACCCAGAATCATGATTTTTAAAGTAAACTTCCTGAGTGAGTGACTGACTGCTAATTCTAGCAAGTATGGGGTCTGGCAGCATGAGGTCTGAGATGTTGAAACATTTTATAAAGCACTTAATGAGGGAGCAAAGGAATAAGGGGTGGGAGTTAGGTCCCAATTCTGATCTTAGGCCATTGTAAATTAGAAGTAATGGAAGGTGAAATTGAAGTTGTTGGAGATACACAGGTGTAAAACCAGTGTAAATGAGAGAAGAGTCAGGCTCTTGGGTCCAAAATAAAGCTCAGAAGTACTTGGAATTTGGTGAAGGATCTCTCCCACAATGGAGGAATCTAGTGCTGGCCTTGTCATTGGCTTTCCAGAATGATTCAAAAATGGTTTAAAAAATTGCACTTAATTAGTTTCTCCAACATTCTTAGTGTCTTCAAGGAACAAAATAGGTGGATCTAATTCATATGCCATTACTGTTAATTCACTTCTTTTAAAGGGGACATTCCAAGTGGCTGTAAACTTATCAGGAATCGTTCAGATTGTAAGGACATAGATTGGACGACGTACACTTGTGTGCTAGGGTTTCAAGTGTTTGGTAAGTACCATTTAACTTGCTTTTAACTTGCTTTTATCCTTAATTTTGTTTAACCTCTATTATGCTAGGTTTTATAATTGGAAATACTTGATTAATGATCATGGACAGTAATTGGAATGTCAGTACAGAATTGCTTCAGTTACCTCCTGGTAGTATTGTTATCAGATACCCCCAACAATTCCCTTATGTCTGACACACCATCCCAGGAGACTGACCGCAGTGCTGGTCTTGTGATCAATCTTAAGCAGGATGTAGCTCTTTGAAGGTAGATATTCTCCATAGATAATACATATTCATCTTCCATTTAATATTAAAGGTTTGGGATTTTTTTGTTCTACTCATTGTAGACTCCGGAGTTTGGGCCTTGAGCCATGAACTTTTGTGTTTTGAGAGATGGTACTGGGGATGGGAATAGGGAGGAGAGAAAGTACAGTGAAGATCTGAGGTGTATACTCTGTACTGTGTCGTCCATGACTCAGGAGGGTGGCTACACCATTTGAGGACTACAATCAAAGAAAAGAAATGTGCCCTATGTCTGCAAAAGAGGAGTGCTTTAAAAAATGAAACAGATTTTTTAAAACAAATCTACAAAAATGTAAAGAACGGACAGTGTTATGTGTGATTTTTATGCCAAAACTCAGGGCTGTGGCTGAATAGTTCAAGTTATTTTCTGCAAAATGGCATTCTGTCAGTCCTAAGTGAGAGCCCTTCTGAGAAGTGTTGAGAGATATTGTTCAACCTGCCAGTGTTGTGAACCAAATCATGTTAGCAGGGTGCTAAATGTTTCACATTCACCACTAGCACAAGAGATCTGCCTCTGGTGTTCACACTTATATGAAACATAAAAAATAGGTAGAAGCAAGTCAGTAAATTCTTGGGAATGAGAGAAAAGAGTGTGCAAAGCTTTTCTTCTTGGCTAGTGGGAGTTAAGTTTTCAATGCCAATTTATTTGCTGGAAGGAAGAAAATAGAGAAATGTTTTTTTCTGAATGCTTACTCTTCATGTAGCCTTTGATGGTGACCACATACCCCCTCTGAGAGGATCTCCTTAATACGCAAGTGCTCTAGAAGAGCTACATTTAAGTTGGTGGCTACAGTGATGCCCTTGTACGTCAAATAAGCCAGGCACCTGACAGTTTGGTCTTTATAATTGAAGACCTACAGTCCTTTCTCTTTAGAGGTGGACAGTTGAGATATGCTGGAACATCCCTCTGGTGTAGGTGAACAGATACCTACACTGCTGCTGCTTGGTATTTTGATCAGGATTCTGGCTCCTGTTAATTTTTCAGGCTAATGTAATGTTATACACGCACATGTTTATCCAATCTCTGTTGATGGCATTCAGAGCAGATGGCTGCTTTCTCCTGAAGCTCTGAGTGTGTAAGACTGGATTGGTTAACGATATTTGTCTGCAACTTTGATTTCCTAACTTTCTTTGCTGTTATGGAGCAAATACTGAAAGAGTGGAAACTGTACCATGAAGGAATGGGTATTGTTAGTGGCTCACAGGAGATTCATCAGGTAGCAATGAGGAAGTGCAAGGAACCAAGCTTTCAGCATTTTCACAAGAGCATAATGTCCTGGTCAGTGAGCAATGAAATACTTTAAAGGAGGAAGACGGACTGAATCAAGCCTTTACCCCCTGTGATGTTATGATTGGATCTGAGGCACTCCTTTGACATTTTTTCTACTTTATATTTTGAGTTAATGAAAGATGCCATCTTGCAAGCACTAAACCTACAGCAGCACTACATTTAGCAGCATAGCAGATACAATATGGGCAGCAGCTGTATCCGATTCCCTGCTCTTTCTCAGAGGTGCCCTTCTTCTGGATATAAAGGGACAATGTCTGGAGATGCAAGAGGAATTCTGTTTCCATGCTCAATCAGTCATTCGCTATACTGGTGACATTGCATGCAAGAAAGTCAGTTGTGGTTGTACCAGTATCTGTATGATTTGAACACCTATTCACTCTGATTTGGATTTAGACCACCAGCTCATTCTACTTAGCAGCCATCAGATAGGAGCGAGTGATGACCTGGGCAAATTCAGTTGAGATGACATGCAGATGAACAGCTCTGTATCTCATTACCAGTACCCTATGCCATCCAGGCCCTTTCTTTCTCTTGTGTATTTTAAACTTCATTTCAGTTGCTGGTAATTCTGGTCAGAGTTTCTGGTTTTATCTCCATTCCATCCAGATTATTATGCACTTTTACTATTATGTACTAAAGTTTTTTATTAAACTTAACAGCTCTCAGATTCTTCAGAGTTCTAAGGGGTCTTGGGTTCACAATGGAAAGTGAAATCTGAGTGATACTTCTGAATGAAATATCCGCCAGTGACTCACTTGTGTGTTTAAAAATAAAGTGAGCACAGCAAATAGCGTGACATCAGTTATTCTGCCAAAAATCATTTGTCATCTTCAAGGTGTAATTGCAAACTTAAAAGTTCCAGGCCCATCATGTTTTAATTTTCTACTGTTGGGCATTCCTGGCCCTTAAAAACATCCAGGACCAATGGCTTAGTCTCAAATTAAAGCATCATCACCTAGCATGAGACATGAGTTCTATTCCTCGTTCAGCCACTGAGCTGCTGTGATGCTGAGCAAGTCACTTCACCTCTCAGGGCATGTTTCCCGTACCTTCCTTTGACTTTTCTCTGTTCAGATTGTAAGCTTTTTTTAGCCATGGACTGTCTCGTGTCTGTTACAGTGACAGCACAAAAGGACAATATCTTATAGGGACTACTTATTCTGTCAATACAAAATAATAGTAATAATATAAACATCGCTATTCTTAAAAGTTTTTAAACATTTGATACTTCCTTTTTTTTTTTACCCTGTCAGCCACGTTGATGGGTTACTCTCATCATACTTCCCTGAAACCTTGAAAGGAAAAATCCTACCAGTTTGTTAAAACAGATTATCTTTTTGTTTAAGACTGCTAATATCAAACTGGTGTATACAATAGAGCCCCACTCTCATTATAAATTAAGAAGGGGAACATAGTATAGCTCTCTGGTCAACATCTGTCTAGAATGGCATCTGTAATTTCAGGAAGCAGATAACATTGTAGAGTTGTTGCTTAAGAAAATTCTTTATTTAGGCTCCTAAATATAAACTTCAAAGAAATGTCTGCAGCAGAGTTTTGAGTGACTCTAAAGTTAATTTATTAGCCCCACCTGCTGGTTATACTATATTAATAGATTAAAAAGGTATTTTAAGATCAATCAATTTAGTTCTAGCTGCTTGAAAATTCTTGAGATATTTATTTATGAGACAGACATCATCATTACTGTTGAGACATTCAAAATATTGCCTAACAATTTCCTTAGCAATTCATGTTGTTCATTTTGGTAATTTATCCACAGTAATGTTTGCTTGCATCAAATATCCTCTAATACTGGCCAGGCTCCCTCCTCTTTCCTTAAAGAGTGAAGAATTAGGCATACCTTTAGTTGTCCCATGGCTTCTAATCTTCTAGATAAAATTTCCTGACCCAGTGAAAAGTGTCACAAACAACCTTCATATAAACTTGTGAAAGAGGTGTTGTTTTTTATAACAATTTCAGATGTGAACAAGTTGTTTACTTTGAGAAAATTTGCAGTGTTGAAAATATAATGCTGTACAACTTTCAGGCTGGCATTCAACCTACAGTTTACTTGGAGTTCCCTGATGTTTCTGTCTTGGTGATACAAAGAAATCGTGGAAGTATTTTTAATGCCTAAATCAGTGGTCTCCAACCTTTTTACGCACAAGATCACTTCTTGAATTTAAGTGCAACCCAGAATCGACCCCTCCCCTTCCTCGAGGCCCCACCCCACTCACTCCATCCCCCCCTCCCTCCGTCACCAGCTCTCCTCCACCCTCACTCACTTTCCCCGGGCTGGGGCAGGGAGTTGGGGTTTGGGCGGGCTCTGGGCTGGGGCTCAGGGGTTTGGAGTATGGGATCAGGCTCCGGGCTGAGCCTGAGGCAGGGGGTTGGGGTGCAGGAGAGGGTGAGGGGTGCAAGCTCTGGGAGGGAGTTTTGGTACAGGAGGGGACTCCAGCTGGGGCAGAGTGTTGGGGTGCAGGAGGGGGTAAGCGGTTCTAGCTCCAGGAGGGAGCTCGGGGCTGGGGCAGGGTTTCAGGATCCAGGAAGGGGGGTTGGGGTGCAGGAAGGGGTATGGGGTGATGTATCTGGGAGGGGGGCTTCAGGGCTGGGGGTTGGGGTGCGGGAGGGGTGCGGGCTGCCCCCAGGCGGCACTTACCTCGGGCAGCTCCCGGTCAGTGGCGCAGTGGGGCTAAGGCAAGCTCCCTGCCTGCCCCGGCCCCATGCCGCTCCCGGAAGTGGCCAGCATGCTGTGACTCTGCGCACTGTTCCTGCCTGCAAGCACTGCCCCCACGGCTCTCACTGGCTGCAGTTCCCCGTTCCTGGCCAATGGAAGCTGCAGGGGTGGAGCTTGCAGGCAGGAGCAGCGTGCAGAGACCCCTGCCCACCCTCTCTCCCCCAGGGCCACAGGGATGTGCTGGCCGCTTCCGCAAGCAGTGTGGAGCCAAGGCAGGCAGGGAGCCTGCCTTCGCCCTGTTGTGCCACCGGACTTTTAGCAGCCGGAGATCGCAATTGACTGTCAGAGGATCTAGGATCAACCAGTCGATTGCGATCAACCAGTTGGTGACCACTGGCCTAAACCAATGCTTGTAGCTGTGGGAAGATATGCCTTCCCTGGCTATTTTGATAATTGATATCCTTTGCAATCACAGTGCCTAAAAAATGCAACAAAACAAAAAAGGCTCTTCGTATTTATACAACTCCTAGTCACCCAGCAGGTGGTGGCCGAGTTGTAAAAGTTGGCACCATGGAGAAAAGTATCATATTTTAATTCTTAGTTTACCCTTTTCCCAGCTTTGCTCTTAGATATGCAAGCCCATTTTTGCTGCATGTTGAAGCTCAAGAGCATGTTTTTGTTTTTTCTTAATTCCGTGCTCCTTTTTTGTTCCTTAACACGATGCTACTTTTCTTCTGTCTAGACAGACCAGTTCTATGCTTTGCACTTACGTGCAATTCACTATGTATTTGTTTTATTTAAGCACTGTTTTCATATACGGCACATGTCCAGGCTGAGTTTCTCTGCAAACTATGCTGATCAGTGGTCTGTTTCAAATCATACTGCCATTAGAAAGAGGGTTCCACTACACAATAATTATTTTGCTCCAAAAAATGGTTTATAAACAAACATTTCAATTAATATAGTGTGCTGCATTTAAGTTTGCTACATACTTCAGAAACTCACATCACTTTTAGAACATGAATACATGTACCAAACAGTGTTCATTTAAGAATTATCTGTTTTGGCAACAAGTTGAATTTTAAGTTAAGCACTTGCGCATCCATATTTGCAGGATTGGGGTCTTGAATAGCAATTTAGCAAGTGAGATAAATTTTCTTGGCATGACAAAATATAAACTTGAGTTCAATATCCTATTCAGTTTCCTAATTTAATTTGATAAATGCATTGTTTGGCATTATTTTTAACCTTATTTTAGGTTTCATGGATTATATTTTTGCTTCAGGATTTTTTTTTAAATTTTGTTTTTAAATTACTGTTATTAAATATATCTGTGTGTCTGTATCCTAGGAGTATGGCCTGAAGGATCAGATGGGACGGATATAAATGCTCTTGTCAGATCCCATAATCGAAAGGTGATAGCAGTTGCTGATGATTTCTGTAAGGTCCATCTCTTTCAGTATCCCTGCTCCAAGCCAAAGGTAAGTTTAGACTACTCTGTGGGGTGTATTATAGACAAGGCTGGTAGAAAAGGTTACGGGTGCCTGACACTTCCCCTTATAAGACCCTGTTTTCATTTGCAACTTTGGCAAACTTTAATCATTTGGGGTGAAATTTTCCATGCCAGGTGGTTCAGCTATTTGTAAGATGGGTTCCCATAGCAGGCCCATCCTGTGCCCTGAATGAGACAGGGACCCTGTCAAAATAATAGTATGTAGGAAGAGAGTAACTTATTTATAAAATAATTTTGTTTGCCACTTGGTGTTTTAAAGTTATCTATTTTTATCTGGCCCTTTCCAGATACAGATTTCATAAGGACATACAGCCAGCCCAAACGTGAAAAAGTCTCCTACAATTTGGGATTTATACAGTTCAGTAATAATACTCAAGAGAAAAGTATATCTTGGGGGGGGGGTGGGAAATTTAATATAGATTTGTGTAGGTGTATATAAATTATTCTTTGGAATACTCTAGCAGATATTTCTGTAGTGTTTTGATATTAACAAATAACAGGAAAAGATTGTGACAGTTGATTCCTCTCTCCCCCCCGCCCCCATTTGTTTCAATAGGCCCCCAGTCACAAATACAGTGCTCACAGCAGTCATGTGACAAATGTCAGCTTTACGCATAACGATGGTCACTTGATTTCAACTGGAGGGAAAGACATGAGTATTATTCAATGGAGACTTGTGGAGAAGATAACTTTGCCACAGAATGGCGCTGTAGTAGAAATTGGTACAACCAAAACACCCACCCCTGCGAGTGAAAGTGTGGTAGAGTCCCGTGCACCTCTTTCACAATCATTTGATGAAATGGCACAAAATGAAAGCGTAACCGGCGGCTCTCTCACATGTGTGGAGAGCAAGTTGGAGCAGACTGTGGAGGCCAGTGAAGAGCAAAGTGAGGAGCAAAGTGAAGGGAGCAGTCTGGATCCAGGTGAGCCAAGCTACGAAGAACCATCCAATGAAACAAGTGAGGAGCAAAGTGAATCCACTGTTACTGAAGACCAGCAAGATAATTCACCGGTGTCTTAACACTTCAAACTCAGATGGTCTTTATTTTCCGTTGGTGTGTGTGCTTTCATAAAGGGGAGAGGGTTTAAATAGGGGAGGGTAAATAGCTGAGATTCATGCCCACTCCAGCTGTTGGGTTTCAGTGAGTTTTTTAGTCTGACTTTGTTTCAATATGTGAACTATCCCAAGGGCCCAGCTTGACAGTTTGTCAAGAACTGGTCAACGTTAGTAGTGGGACAAAACCATAGGTTCATTTTTAATTCTGAAATTGCTGTCAGGAAGTGGCATGATGTAAATACTGGAAAAAAGGTTAGTTCTAAGGAAAAGCTGAAATAAACCACCTTAATCTTGTGAAAGTGTTTTCTGGAAGTACTAACACCAAACAGAAGCACTGAATAAATACCAGCTGAATAATACTGTGCTGTTTTTCCAGGTGCATAAAAAAAATCTGAAAAATTAATTTTGTGGAGCTGTTCTTTCTTTTTTTAATGAAAAAAGGAAAAACAAGAATAATGCCATGTTCATGAAACTGCCTTCTTGATATAACACATATGCAATTTTCTAACACTACTAATTCCTAATGGAGTGTGGACATGTTTGCAGTCTGTCTGCCCTAGGTGCTGCTCGTTCTAATGCAAATCATATCAAGGAACAGTTTTTATTGATCCTTGTTTATAGACCTATTTAATCATAGAACTTAACAAAACATCTGTTTGTTCATGAATTATTGATGACCTAAAAGTTGATTACAATGTAAGAGGCAATTGTGTTTTCAAAGAATTGCTCGCCTTGATATTTTGAAACTTAAGAATCTTTATATTGACCTTGATGTGAACAGAAGAGAATGCATGACAAGAAAACAAAAGTCTAATGGTTCTAGGGTTAAACGTAGGCTTCAAGCAGAAATCGTTCCCTTATGTCTAGGAGAAATATAAATATAGTTAAATTGGTGCTTGGGATTAGTATAGTAAGATGTTACTTTTTTTTCCTGTTATGTGGTGACTTTAAGAATCAATAAACTGCAAATGTTTTTTTACTGGCTCCTTTAGCAGTCATGATAATATCACAATAATTTAGATAATGTTGCGTATTTTGAGATTTCCTCTTTGGTGATTTTTCTTTCGCCCAGTTGCTGTAAGCCATGCAGCTCTTATGTGGCTATACCTGGCCAGTTACAGGATATCATGGCATTTGTTATGCATTTGGAAAGTAAATTTTTTTTTTACAAAACTTGTCAGACAGCTACATTTGTTTCTTAAGTACATAAGTTTCCTACATTAAAAAGAAAAAATAGATTTACTGACAAGTATGCATTTCCTATGTACTTGTTTATATTTTGATTACATAGAATTTTTTTAACTTGCTGCATTGTGCTGATATTTTAGGTTTTAGTTAGAAAGTCTTGTTTAGAAACTTTGGATGAGTTCATAAGTCTTAAGTGTGCGAGCGTTTACGTGATTGTGCCATTCCAAAGTGCATCAAAACTGTCATTCCCTTTCTAGTATCTTCTCAGGAGTAATGCTACAGATCAGGTATTTAGTCATCATTTGGTAAGATCAAAAAACTCAAATGGACTCCCAAAGGATATTTATAAAAATATATATATTTATATATATATATATATATATGAATATATATGAATATATAAAATATCCTCTTGTTTACAACAGTTCCAGAAAACCTCAAAATAATTCTCTTCAAATGAAGGGAGATGTGGATTCCAAGCAACCCAACTGCTTAAACTGTGCTCTGTACATAGTATTTTATTGGAGAGCTCTAGTGTGTCTGACTTACAGTTTTGCCCAATAATAGTGACAGAAGATAAAGATCAGCTCATCAAATTATATGGTTTCAAATGAGGAATATGCTGTAAGGTGAGAAAATAATTCTAATAAAGAAAAAAGGGTTTATCAAAGCCAGTGAGGCACAGAGCTCTCTCTATCATTTTTATGAACTCCACATAAGCAACACATGTCATTTGGAAACATCTATCCTTAGGGGTTGCCATGTAAAGTGAGAGTTATAGTTGTGATATTCTTGTGTTGTAGTTCAAAAGACTCTACTAATATGCAAAAAGCCTTACAGCTTTCAATTGCTGGCAACTACTGTTTAACCGATAATTAAATCTGTGATAATGGATGGAAATGGGTGGGATTATGTCACTGTAGATGTTTTAGACAAATAATTGTGAATGAAATATGATTCAGAGTGTTTCATGTGAAGATGTTTGAGCCATTTCTATCTATCATGCATTCCTGTCTCATGGCAGAAAATTTTGAAGATTAAAAAAACAATAAAATCATCAAAATAATACGTTGCCTTTATGTCTTTCAATATAAGTGCTGATTCCTTTATATATATATATATATATATATATATATATAAATGCCAGTTTTCATCAGATCCCTCGTAATGTGTTTATCAGATTATTTTTTTCTTTCTTTCTTTAATATCTTCTTGTCTCTGACTAATGCTTTTACTGGTAAACCTCTTCCTGGCTAATAAAGGATACCTATTCACCAGGAGACTCAGGAAATACTCCTACTACTCCAAATTATATTCATGTGAGTGGACTTACATGTCTGCTCATTGCTTTGGAAATGTACCCCTCAGTGGTTGGGGTTTAGACACATACAGTGTCTCCATTCCACTGATGGACTAATAGGTTGGCAAGACCACAATATATCTGTTGATTAAGGAGATCACAATACTGGGTAGAATATTGTTGTGCTTTACTGGACTCTATACAGACTTTATGCCCTGATATTTTTTATTGAGTCCCTCTCAGGAAATTTAGAATCTGTCCTACTGAAAGATACATGAAGGTTACAGTTGTATTTTGGATATAATGTAGTAAGTATGCAATCATGCTTTCACTTCGCTAATGTCATCATCTTGGGTCAATATGGGGGAGCTGGTATATATTTAGGTTGCCTTAACACTTGCTGCCATTAAAGATTCTTGTGATTTTTTTGTTGTTGTTGTTGTTAAAGAATCTGTAACATCTTCATTGCTTGCTGCAGGCGTTTGAAATTCAGGAGAGGGAAGAGAAGGGCCTTTGTCCCATGAAATTCCATTCAAGTTTGACTGAGATATCAACTGCAGGCTAATCTCCCTCCAACCACCCTCACTGCAGACACACCACTTGGCACCAGCTGCCCATTCGGGATAGCAGCTTTCTGATAATGCCAGCTAACGTGCTTAGTCCTGTAGCTCAAGTGTTAGATGTCTGTTCTGGGGCTGAAGGCTCATGGTTCACACTCTGCTGATGGTTCACAATGGAGGGGCACGGAGGATTAGTTGCACTTAATTTTTTTTTTTAATGTAGGGAACTGTATTTTTAAAAGTTACATTAAAAACATTATTTAGGGTCAAGTCCTTGAAAGTTAGGAGATGCCAGGTTTATGGATGCCTGTGCAACCTTAATTTGGCCCCTTTGTTCTTATATATTATGGTATATCTTTTAAATAGGTGATCACAGAACCCTTGCCTTATTCAGTGCTCAGGATAGACACAGAAGGGAAGCAAATTAAGGTGGTACTGACATTTCTTAACTTTTGAGTACTTGACTTTACCACCTAAATAATGTTATTCTAACAGTCTTTGTATATAATATTTATTAAGATCCAGCATTGTATTTTCACTGGTTCCCACAATATAATGCACACATTCTAGTCTCAATTTACAAAATTAGGGAAAAATTCAATCTTCATGTTAGGCTGATGTAACCCACTATTCACTGTATTTTGTGTCTTGCTCTGTGCCCAATCCACAGCTATAGAGTTTTTAACTGTTGGAGATCCCTGGTTCAAGTGTCAGCCAAGATGGTGGTGTCATAAGTGAAGGTTAGTCTGGAATTTGAACTGCTGTGGGACTCAAATGCTTGGTATGAGCTTCCTCAGGGGAAGTATGTAACTCACTGGTCAGTGTGTGCTACCTGTCTCCCTTGTGCCCAAGCCATGGAGGATGTGAATGTGTTACCTCTGTCAGCCAATGTCTGCCATGCTTTCAGTTCTGGACATCCCCAGTTCAATCCCTCCTGTTTGCCAAGATGGCTACTGTCACACGAGGTTAGAAAGTTTCCCTTCCATTTCCAAATACATATTTTTTGTGAAGAAACTTAAAGTAGTAAGTGTTACAATGTAAGCAGCTTTGGTGATTCAATAGGTGGCACTCTTCTTCAAGTCAATACTGAACCAATGGCCATCGTGCTTCCAACCCGAGATATAAGGCTTGGGCTCTGCACATCATAAAATATCCAATGACACCTCTCAGAATAATTGAGTTGCCAATCCTGGTGTCCTGACTAAATTCCAACTAGATATATATAACTCTGTCGTGTGTGTGGGGAGAGGGTCCCCATTACCATCATATCTGAGCAGCTCAAAAACTCTCATGTTTTTATCCTCACAACACCTCTATGAGATAGGAAAATACGGTCCTCCTCATTTGAGAGATGGGAAACAACGTGGAGAGACTAAGTACAGTAACTTGCGTAGGTCACACAGGGTTATTACAATCTGCCTACCAAAATTTGCAAGTAAATAGAGTAGGTGAAGTCCTGTCTCTCTGGAAGTCACTCAGTGTCTTGCCATTGACTTCAGTCATCTTCACTGACTCTCCTGAACTGCTATTCAAAGTTGCTGTACGTCGTTGACACACTTCACCCCAGTGGTTCATGAAGAGATCTTTATGTAACTATTACAGGGCTGAATTAACATTGGGGTCTACACATGGAAGTTACTATTTGTGTGTATTTTACCTGTGTAATAATTACCTATGGTCTATGGATGTTTTTTGGTAAACTTTCTGAATAATGCAAGTATGTGTCTTAATACTGGAAACTTAGGCAGCTTGTTTGTAGCTAAGTTGTAGTTCCAACTAAGTACCGGGTAAAGCTCTTGAGCTTAGCCCATGATCATCCTAGTGGCCATGCTGGGGTGAACAGGACCAAAGACCATTTGGGGAGGTCCTTCCTCAGGGAGGGAATGGGCAAGGATGTTTCTACCTATGTCTGGTCTTGTGAGGTGTGCCAAAGAGTGAGAAAACCCCAAGACCAAGTCAAAGCCCCTCTCCAGCCACTCCCCATAATTGAGGTTCCATTTCAGCGAGTAGCTGTGAATATTCTGGGTTCTTTCCTGAAAAAGACACCCAGAAGAAAGCAGTACATACTGACTTTCATGGATTTTGCCACCCGATGGCCGGAAGCAGTAGCTCTAAGTAACAGCTGGGCTAAAAGTGTGTGCCAGGCATTAACAATCATTTTTGCCAGGGTACGTTGGCCCTCCGACATCCTTACGGATTCGGGAACTAATTTCCTGGCAGGGACCATGAAAAGCCTGTGGGAAGCTCATGGGGTGAACCACTTGGTTGCCACCCCTAACCACCATCAACAAATGGCCTGGTGGAGAATTTTAATGGAACTTTGGGGGCCATGATACGTAAATTCATAAATGAGTACTCCAACAATTGGGACCTCGTGTTGCAGCAGTTGCTCTTTGCCTCCAGGGCTGTCCCACATTCCAGTTTAGGGTTTTCACCATTTGAACTTGTGTATGGCCACAAAGTTAAGGGGCCATTACAATTGGTGAAGCAGCAATGGGAGGGGTTTACGCCTTCTCCAGGAACTAACATTCTGGACTTTGTAAACAACCTACAAAACACCCTCCAAACCTCTTTGGCCCTTGCTAGAGAAAACCTGAAAGATGCTCAGGAAGAGCAAAAGGCCTAGTATGATAAACATGCCAGAGAACATTCCTTTGAAGTAGGGGACCAGTTCATGATCTTGAAGGCGCTCCAGGCCCATAAAATGGAAGTGTCATGGGAAGGGCCGTTTTCGGTCCAGGAGTGCCTGGGAGCTGTTAACTATCTCCTAGCATCCCCAACCCTAAGGTGTACCATATTAATTCTCAAAAGCCATTTTATTCCAGAGAATTAAAGGTTTGTCAGTTTACAGCCCAGGGAGGAGATGACGCTGAGTGGCCTGAAGGTAAAAAGGAAAAAGTGACAGTGGCGTGGAAGAGGTGAACCTCTCAATGACCCTCGGACGTATGCAGCACCAGCAGATCAAGGAGCTGTGCACTAGCTTTGCGCCGATGTTCTCAGCCATCCCAGGATGAACTGAACGGGCATACCACTCCATTGACACAGGTAATGCTCACCCAATTAAAGTCCAACCGTATCGGGTGTCTCCTCAAGCCAAAACTGCTATAGAATGGGAGATCCAGGACATGCTACAAATGGGTGTAAGCTGCCCCTCTAACAGTGCATGGGCATCTCCAGTGGTTCTAGTTCCCAAACCAGATGGGGAAATACGCTTTTGCATGGACTACCGTAAGCTAAATGCTGTAACTCACCCAGACAACTATCCAATGCCACACACAGATGAGCTATTGGAGAAACTGGGATGTGCCCAGTTCATCTCTAACTTGGACTTAACCAAGGGGTACTGGCAAGTACCGCTGGATGAATCCACCAAGGAAAGGTCAGCCTTCATCACCCATGTAGGGCTGGATGAACTTAATGTGCTCCCTTTCGCGTTGTGAAATGCACCCGCCACTTTCCAAAAACTTGTAGATAGTCTCCTAGTAGGATTGGGAGAATCTGCAGTTGCCTACCCTGATGATGTGGCCATCTTTTGATTCATGGGCAGAACACCTGGAGCATCTGCAAAAAGACTTCGAGCGCATAAGGGAGGGAGGGCTAACTGTTAAGGCTAAGTGTCAAATAGGCCTAAACAGAGTGACTTACCTTGTACACCAGATGGGTCAAGGAACTATCAACCCCCTACAGGTCAAATTGAATGCTATCCAAAAGTGGACTGTCCCAAAGTCAAAGAAACAGATCCAATCTGTCTTAGGCTTGGCCGGATATTACAGGCGATTTGTACCGCAATACAGCCAAATCGCCACCCCACTGACACACCTAACCAAAAAAAAACCAGCCAAATGCAGTTCAGTGGACTGAAGAGTGTCAGAAGGCCTTTAACCATCTTAAAGCAACACTCATGTCTGACCCTGTGCTAAGAGCCACAGACTTTGATAAACCGTTCCTAGTAACCACAGATGCATCCGAGCGTGATGTGAGACCAGTTTTAATGCAGGAAGGACCAGATCAAGAATTCCATCCTGTCGTGTTTCTAAGCAAGAAACTGTCTGACAGGGAAAGTCACTGGTCAATCAGCGAAAAGGAATGTTCCGCCATTGTCTAGGCTCTGGAAAAACTACGCCTATACGTTTGGGGACGGCGTTTCCTCCTGCAAACAGACCATGCTGCGATGAAGTGGCTTCATACCATCAAGGACAATAACAA